ACGATAAAATGGTGTGTTCCAAATATTTCTGTAAAGATAACGTCGTAATGCATTGTAATTTGTCTGACAGAATAACATAATCGATGACCATTAGAGGCTTAACATATTTTGGTAATAGCTGTGACTACCGTTACTTAATGTGAATGTGATTTCAGGAGTAAAAATAAAGGATAGAAGTGTAATGCCATCATCTGATAGATAACATTCAGTAATCTGACAATAATATTTATCGATGATTCATTCGTGTGGTCCAAATTACTTTTCTCCATGTGAGATATTATTTTTTATCTATTTATCAGTATGACGGAATCCCACATTCTATGAAAATACCATAAATCAAGTCAAGCACTTCAAAAGATGTGAGACAATTCACTTATTTGACTGTTACCTTTTTATCATCTAGTGTGAACACAATAATGAGCAAAATAAGTCCAATCAGGACCGCAGCACATAAAAGTGAGTAAAGTGCAATCGTTTATCGTAAATTTAAATCTCTGAAATATAGAGCTAGAAAGATGACATCTGCAGTCAATGCAATTGTCAAACCAAACGCTGCCAAAGTAAGCACCCAAGAAACAGCATTTAACTCGGTGGCGAAACCCATCGAATATAGTACGAACTGAAATAATGAAAGAAAGAGTTTAAATTTTTAAATTATGCAAATGACCCACATATAAATAGGAGATATATCTGTTGATTGTGGAGGTTGTATTATTAAGTTTTAGTACTTTGTTGAGGTATTAGTTAGGTGTCTCATTTACATCTTTGACTTCGCCTCGCTCCAACTAAACGTTTCCCAACCTAAATACAGGATAAGACAGTGTCGTTCAGTGGAGAAAAACTCCCTTTTAACAACTTCATCTACAGTCTGTACAGTCGTATTGTATTAAGCAAAGATCCCAATAGACACCTCTAGAAACTGTTCAGTCAATAAACATATGGTAAACATTGAAAGGCGATGTATCAAGTAGGTAGAGTTGAAGTGGAATAATCACACAAATTTCCAGTATCATTAAAAAGGTAAATTCGCATTAAGATTTAGCAAGTACTTCAAGTGATGTCTAAACCTCACGAGTATGATGGTCATAAAAAAAGTCAGAGTATACGAAGTAGATGGAAAAGAATTGAAGTGGTGAATTTATAATAAAATTAAAAACGCTGCTCAATATCAAGGTTACATATGTCTCATAACACTGTGTGGTATTCACCCAGTTGCATGTTACACTGTATTCAAAAATGTCAATAGGCGTATTGCCCTTGAAATCCTCGAAAATGTGTGATTTATATTTCTAACTCGCATAGCAATCTCCCCACTTCACACACGCAGACACATCAACAAAGATATGCCGATTTGCTTGATTTCTTTTGTGTGTGTTGTCGCTATATAACACTTTAGAATTAATAATAATGAAAACACACATGACATATATGCACAGGAAGGTGAATCATCACTAGTACATCCATACAAACACGGAACCTCGGAAACCTCAAGGATGCTTTTAGGTGTGCAGGGATAAACAAAGACATTCAAACTCATACATTCAATCAGAAATTAACCTTATCCCTTGACGAATCCTGTGGAGATAGTTAAAAAAACAATTTAGTTGATCTACTACACTGCAATGACTGTCAGATCAAATATTTAGGTCAGAAAAGTAGAAGGAGGTCAATGAAGCAATCCAAACAGGCTTGGAAAAATCCTCATTAGAGAGCTCGAATAGGAAACGAAATCTAGAAAATGGTTCAGCTATTGCACTGCGTGCAGTTACACAAAATATAACAGCGTGATTCTATAGTATGATATTCAGAAAATGTAACAGAACAGTGTGAACTTAAGAGATTGATAACTGAAGCTGTGTATATCGAATCAACTGATAATACATGTAATATCAGTAATTCGATTATGAACCATGAGTTGTGTTCGAAAGGTCATGAAATAAATATTACTGTTTCAATTTGTGATATATCTAATAAAAATTAACATGGAATGATATGAATCACAGATATATGACTTTTGTCTGTGACACATTAATGTAAGTAAAACTAAAGGATTGAAACACTTATACTGAATACTATGAGAAAGTGACCAATGTCGTGGCGATATCCGATTAGTTTGAGTAATGCAACCACCAGTATCGAAAGTGATCCAAGAACTCTGGAATGAGTAATTTTCGCTGTGTCTACAGTGTCCGTTTTAAAATTTAGCATAACATTATTAAAAGAGCGGTATATATTGGTGGAATGTTGCCTCGATATCCCTGCCCACAGCAGTTTGTCCTATTTTCAAAATATTTTATTCAGAAATCAAATAGTGTGACTCTGTTGCAATATCGTGGATGTAAATAGTATCCAACAAATTGCAAGTGAACAGGAATTTAACCAAATCAAGGAATTTCAGAATATTTACATATTCTTTGCTGCTTTTACTTCCTGCAATCAACATTCGTACAGGTGAATTAAGTCAGTTCAAACAAAGCAAATGTTTGCAAGCAGAATGATTTTCAGTGCTCGTGGACTGGTAAGCCATAAAATCTACGATGTAAAACTAACCTATTGTACAGGATCCACATAGATATATTTGATGGATACATTATAAAACTGACTTACATAGGAAGAACTGTAAACCAAATGTGCTCTGTAAGCCAGTCAGAAACTCCACCACTGTACCAAGAGTTTCATTATTCTATCAAAGTGATAATCAAATTTGGTCTTACATTGTGTTCACTATTACAACCATAGTCAATGTCACTAGAAGCATCAACAGTGTATCGATTATCATCTGTGTCAGTCATATTTAGCTAAAGAAAGTAAACTCTCACCCATATTAAGAATATGAACCTGGCCTGAGGCCTAGACTTGAACTTTGAAGACTGGCGACTTACACAGTTTGATTTGACATTTTGTGATCTATAAAATCATGAATAAAGCACAGGATTTCGAAAATATAATCAATGTCAAAATGATTTTCTGTTAGCATGTGGCAATCCTATGCTAATCTTTGAGTCTCTATTGTCGAATATCCATCACATTAATTTACTCACAGTGTTAGATGCGGGATTAGTATGTGTACCCTTACTGTCAGTAGGAGATTCTACACTGGTCACTCAGATGACAATTACGAGCACAGTGATTGCGTGACTATACTGATTTCACCAATACTAAGCAATGATTTAATGCGGTGGAGATCAATCTCCTTCAGCATTATAACAGCAAGATTCGACTCAAACGAAGGAAGGTTACAGTTATCCGATTATACAAATTTCAAGCGACTGATAACAAAAAAGAAGGAAAATGACAGCTGCAAACGAAAACAGACAACATCTGAATGGAGACATCACAATCTTAGTGGGCGAAATAAATGCCAAGCTCAAAGCAAGCAATGTGTGAAGAGAACTTACCATAGGCAAAGAACTCAGAGAAAAGAATGACAGTGAAGAGCGCTTCAGAGACTTCTGCACCTTCAATTACCTGCTGATTGAAAGTAGCGCGCATCATCTGACAGACAAACCAAAAAAACAGATAGGATTAACCTCAATGGTATGAAGACGAAGCGTGCTTGATAGAGATGCGAGAAGGCGAGTATATTAAGACGCAGATCATTTGCTAAATCTAGGGTTCCTTAAGGACAAGTTGAAAGCCTTGAGAACAAGAACTTCAAGTGAACACAGGAGAGATGGAAATGATGAAGAAAAACAAGTGGAAACTGGCATAATGATAGTATAAGTGATAGATATTTGGAGTAGGTCACTTGGCACAGGTATCAAGCAAGCACAATCTAAACCAGAGGCAGAATGGATGAAGGTGTCAAAACAAGTCTTCATTGGAAAGGTCAGGCACAGAATTGTCAATCTGAAATAATTGAAGAAATCTTAAGAACTCTGCATGCAGAACAAAATTCGAATTTCAAACGCCATTGTGAAGTCATCGAATTCTCCCACATGGGACAGAAAGGGTGGCGAGCGCATTCCAAGACGCACTTACAACAGACTTCTGCAGACGTCTGTCAACAGCTAACTTCACTCCATTTTGAAGATCAAGTGTCCACAGAGAATAAGAAGTAATAAATCATGTGAACAAACCAACATGCTCAAAAAAGGGAAACTGGTTCAAATACACGCTGATGAGACTGTGGAATCTCATCACACCAGGCAACTGCTTGAATAAAAACAGATCAGTTGAGCGTTCGAGGGTGACACAGTGGACATTGTGAGAAGAGGATATGAGAAAGTGTCGGCCATCATGATGTCCGCTTAAGAAGAGGAGAGCAAGTATGAGAATTTAAAGATGGATTACTGAGGAAGTGTTTCGCACTTGGAATACAAGAGAGAAATAATATATCATACTACAAATAACGATATTCAGATAAAGGCTTATTTTTGAAATAGGCTAGCTGCTGAATACTAGGAAATTCTGTCATTGCTCAACAAGCATTTCGCATGTTTCTGACACCTGTATTCAATTCGAAAGAATTTATATTAGGCTCACTGAGTGGAATGATGCTCTATTGGTTCTGACAGTGTATTGCATTGTAGAAAGGAGAATTTGTCCTTGCAATTAAGGTAGTGTGCTTTCCGAATTATGCCAAGCTCAAGACGCTATAACTACTCTAATAGACCATTAAAACGCAATTCATTGTATGGCTGTAACTGCAGGCTATGTATAACGCAATTTGTTTAACTCTATGGCTATTTTAGCTCTTATTCTATGATTTATGCCTATGGCGGACAGATAAGTGGTTTGCCTGAGGACTCATTACTTGACTCAGAGGAGAATCCTGTGTTTCAGCATCATTGATAATTAGGCACATCAAAAGTAACTTTTCTTCCAGATCGCCCTGAATGTTGGTGAATAGAACACTAAGGCAGCACTAAGCTTTCCTATTGTTGGCGTCTTTGATTATCTTCAAAAATCATGTTACCTCATATTTTATTCAACAATCCATTCAATATGTATTTACTATATTCAGTTTTCAAGTATCCTGTTTCATCAGACGTTTCAGTGCTCAGTCATTTTCATTCCATAGGAAGCTGTTGTTGCATACAGGATGTTCAATAAAACATGCATCAATCATGTTTTGGTTCAGAATATATCACATTTATCATCGGCATCCGTGGACTTGAAAAAGCAGAGAAAGTGCAGAGATCACTCAGATGTAAACAACTATATTATGAGCATTATAAATCAAGATTCTGAAGACACAAATTTCACTCACTAAAAACTGAAACTGACAATAAAAATGTCTCTCCCAACTCACCGTTTCAATCTTCTTATTCAAATGAATCAACTAATCAATGAGCATTTACATACTCTTGTTTCGTTATTATATTTTTTTAAGTTTGTTAGCTGAAAATAACTGAACCTTGATCCTGCCAGAGAGTTACACAAAATTTATATTATTTTCGTGGTCAATGTGAGAGTTTCAAGTGTGAATTTCATGAGATATACTCAACGATTGATTGTTTTACTTACCCTCTTCACCAAACGGAGAAGACTTGATGGCATCAGTCTCATTTAGACCATACGTTTATCATTTGCATGACTTTTATTTCCAAAATCATTTTTGTGCGACTTTAAGCCTAAAGTTTAAGAGGATAAAACACAGTGGGTTGCGAAATACCAGTTTCTGCAACTGATTTTTGAGAGATTCATCTTCTAGACAAGGTCAAATATGATCACTAATATATTACAAGTCACTGCTAGATTCTGTAGTAACACCTTATGTAAACCTTGTCGATTGGACGTGATTACTGTTGTTTGTTAAGCTATTCTGGCTTGAGTTTAGTATTATTGCTTATGATATATGGACAGTATAGAAAATACGGATAAAATAAGCTACATTCTGCTTACAATATTCGCTGTTCCTTGGCAACATGAGGTAATGATAGGTCTAAATTCCAGAGTTTTTTAGATAATTTCATAGCAATCATAACATCAACGTTCTGCAGGTATATCAATCAGGATTATTGAATATATCAGCATAATTCTGCAGATAGTTTTGAACAAATCTGTGACAAAATATTGAAATTATAATAAGTGATATGTTAGGGATCTAACATTCTGTTTCATTGAATGTTTCAGTGTTACAAAGTCAACATTTTACCTAAATATATGTGTATACATGACATTTTTCAGGTGAAAGGGAGCAGACGATGTCATGTCTTAACTGAAGTAGTAAATCAGTTTTCTCACAAATTTCAGTGATCTGATTGTAGTCTGAAGTTCATTTGTTGCGATTTGTTCTGTGTGAAAATTATCTCAAATGATTGTCCAAGTATGCGAAATCGTGGACCACTGAAGATTCCTACTTGAAGCATATCATTTATTACATTATGATGATTCACTCAAAGCACGTATCACACTGCCACACTGGGTGAATCGGAAGAACCGATAAATGTCCCAGCCTGATCATCCTTATCACCCCTAAAATGTGAATTGTTTTCTGTCAAATAATTTGCATCATATCATCATTTTACAGTTTGTGATATATTATAATAAGTATTTCTACTGATGACCATCATGAGTGATATTGTTCTGGACAACATGGAAAGTGACTGCGGATAAATAAGTTAAGGTTTGTGAGAAAATTTGTAAAGGTTATTCATTGAATTCAATCAATGGGCCTACTTTTGCAAGCGACTGTCTTTAAAAGTCAGGCATATTACTTTACTATTCACAATATGACATATACCGAAACCAAGTGAATCATTTTTCCGGGTGTATTGATGTGGATAACAATGATTACAACAATATGTAAGTCTTCATTGTAATGCTTCTTCTACTAATCATCTTTTATACAGGCACTGTGAAAACTCTATTATTCAATCAATGTACAACTTGTGTTCACGTGAGTTATCTGAGTTAAATTATAACCCAACGGTATCTGAGAACAACTACATATTAATCATGCACATTTAATTGTCAGAAAGCGTCAATACAATGTTAATCTTATGAGTGATTTTGAATCAGTATCACCTTATACCATACGTCCGTTGAAAGAAACAGTGTTATGATGATTATTAAATGCCATGCCTTAATAATAGCTTCTGATGCTTCATGCAAAATTTGATTCATACAATTTTTTATTTGATTTGAATTGCGGGGTTCGATACTGTCAGTTTGCTGGGTGGAATTGCTGTGGTGGTGTTTATTCTTGTTGAGGTATTTCAAGGTTGTTTTCCAACTAAGCATGCCTTCGAAGCACTCGGTGTAAATTTGACATTGCTAACAATCCTTAATGAGTATGATATATTTTCGAAGATAATATGTGCCCTCCTACTTCACTCATGAACACAAAAATATGGTCACTTGTGAATTTTTACTAGGAAGAAAGCGAAATGGAGTTGAGAGGTTCCATGATTTCACTCTTAACACACAGAGAATCGTGAATCTCTCTGAGGAAATATCGTAATAATTTCACAATTAAAACCTTTTCTTTACAGATTACAGATTTTATTTGGGTCTAGTGAGCTACCTGCTCTAAATGTATCCTCAGAATGATGGATTCTTTTAGCATGGATTTTCGCGGTATCTGTAGCTGTGCTGGTGATCAACATTGAAAACAATATTGAGAGGCACAGGAAGAAAGTAATCATCATACTACTAAGCACGTCTAGAGAAATAAGACAGCTGGCTGTTATCGTGTTGATTTGTATCAGACTCCCTGATTTTTCTGAAAAACGAAAATTATTCATGACCCCTTGTGAATAGTTTATCATGTTAAATATTTTGTATCATTTTGTGTTATGGATGACACAAGTTCAAGAGTTGATCGACTGTGTCGTAATAGGCAGATTTTTTGCAAGTACGACTACAGAGGGAAACACAAATGTGTTTGATAGCAGATGTAATTTCTGGGTGAAAAATGAATGTATTAGTGTCCAAATAAGAAAACATTAATCCAAAATTCCAACTGCCAATGGGTTTTAATGCACTGCTTCTGTTATCTTCATTTCTTGCTTTCTTTCTGTAAAAATTGTGAACATCATTTCAATTGTTTTCAGCCTAATCTCTCCCCTGAAATTTAAGACTTTCACCGATCTCGTAAAATAGGGAGATTACTCTAAGTACTATACTCCACATAACTAACTCTGCCAGCCTACCAATCACAGTTAATTTTAGTTATGCAGTATAGACAGTGAATGATTTGGGGAACCAGTTTCATTCTAAGACTGTCCTTAGTGATGAAGTCATTCTACTAATTGTTATCATAGTTTGAGTACTTAGCTAGAAGGTCAATCGATAAGGTTTTATTTTAAAAAATAACACTGTATTAAACAGTTATATTAAGTGATAACATTTTGATCACAAAATCTTGCTAATGATATGATTATGAGCAACAGTTTGTGCTCAAAACGTCATCAGTTAATATTACTGTATAATACTGTGTGACTTATCAAAATAAAATCTTATCCATAATGGAGTTATTCTCGATCACAATGCCCAAGTATTATACTTATATTGATGTGAGTTTTGTCGATGCATGTTGACTGAACATAGAGAAGACAGAGGTAATGATATTTCCTGCCCGGCAGTAAGAGTAACAACAACAGAGAACAATTGGCCAGCATAAATAGGAGAAATCTGAAAGAAGCAACCTCCTTCACCTACAAACCAGGGAAGCATCATTTCAACTACAGGTGGAACTGACAACGGCATCAAAGCGAGGATCGGGAAACCAAGGCAAGTCTTCATTTCTCTCGGAGGTCAACAACAATCATTATGAAATTGAGAATAACATCTTGATTTTCAACAACTGAAGTCAGTGCTACTTTACAGAATAGAGACCTGGCGCCTCATAAAAAGCACCTCAAACTAACTACCAGCCCTCATAATCAGCTGTCTTTGCTTAGTAGTCAATACCGGATGGCCAGAAAAGATCAGCAGTATGAATCTTTGAGAGTGAACCAACCAGGAACCGATGGTGCAACAGATATGCAAAAATAAATAGAGGTGGATTGGTCATACTTTGAGAAAACCCTCAAGTGATATCACAAGACGGGCTCTTGAGTGAAACCCGAAAGATAAGAGGTGAGTTGCTCAACATTGCGACGGTGACATTGAGGAGGTCATGTGAACGGGCGGTGAAAGCATGTGGGCAGAAGTGGAGCCAGACGAAAACGTTGGGAAATACCCGAACGTCATGCTGACGTACGGTTGAAGCCGTATGTCCTTCTCGGAACTAAAGGAAACAGTGATAATAAATATTGAATGTACCTCAAAGGTAATTCAGTGAGCAAAAGAATCCAACCAAGTTTGAAATAAAAAAGATCTCAAGTTTGATCACGAACTTATTTCACTTAAAGAAACATTAGAAACTAGTAAAAACTGAGAGCCCCTTTCGTCCTCGTTCAAAAATACTTAGAAATACCACATCGGGGATCCAAAAAAGAATATTCGAGTAATGATGCAACTAGTGATAAATACTGGTGTTTGAATACATATCACAATGCTGACCGGAATCGCGGTGAGAAATCGTGATCTGCTGGTTATATGGAGTCAAATGTAGGCACAACAATAGCCGGTAGTAAGGCTTTATATCTCAAAGTAGAAAGCTAGAACCTAGAGTATACTAGATTTCATCAAATTACTTAATATCCTTAGGCTCATCTTATAACCACAGGGTCTTTGGTTTGACTTCCAGTGGAGTTGTGGATGCGCAATGAGTTTCAAAATGGGTTGAAATGAATATACAGTCATATTTCAGCAAACCGAAACTCAAAGGAATTCCCTTTTTCCAATAATTTTCTCATATCGAACTCCGTTTTTGAAGAAAATTTGGATGACATTATCCGTCTCATTCAATATATTTTGTTGCTTAGTAGTTTTCGGTTAATTAAATTTATAGGCATCCAGACAATAATCCTTAGTGCACTGAGATGTTAGCATTCGTGTTGTCATCATTGTTAGCGTTTTGTCCAAAATACTCCAAATTCTTATGCACCCTTTTCATGCAGAGCAATACGAGATTAGATAATAAGGAACCAATTTAAATCCACGTGGCTCATAGTTGTTTCATTAACATCTATGATTCACATACAGCATCATTTCCAGACCAATGAATACACCACCGACATCTTCACTTACATAATAATAAATTAATGAATTACAATTAAAAACACCAAATACCATGAAACGTGATATTCATAGTCAGTGGAATGATTACCACTAACGCACGTGAACCGAAATATAAAAGAACACCTAAAAACTTCAGGAGATCTCCATTTCACAGGTGATTCGTGTTTAGTGTCACACAAACCCAAAGACTTACAGACGAATTGCAGCAAAATGGCTGAAGAGGAAGTCAGTGGAGGAAGGTCTGTAGGTGAACACACAGAAGACGGAGGTCATGAAAACTGCCAACCACCAACAACAAGAACAACAACTGGCACCAATCACCATCAGTGGAAGAGATTTACCAGAGATTATCTTATACTATAATCTAGGAAGCATCGTTCCAACCGCCGGTGAAACGGATTCAGATATCGAATTCTGGATTGAAAAGGCAAGATACACATTTACTAACTTGAAATTGGTTTGGAAATAGTCTGCAGTTGACACAAAGAAAAAGATTCGGACT